GCACCTCCTAGCAATTTTAAATTCCTCTGGAAGTGACATCTTTATTCTGCTAACCCTGTGCATCCATGCAGGACAGATATGTGTCCCAGCGAAATGAGGGTGCAATTTGGGTGCCCCAGAGGGACACCGGGGTGTGGCATAGGTCGTGTGTTTGCCTATTTCACTTTCCACTGCCATCGGCCTGTGAACAAGTCTCTGTGAGCCCCAGACGTCTCTGCGATACCCACATTTCTGCCATCCTCCCGGGCTGGGCCCGGATGAACCTGTAGTGTCTGAAATCCAGACGCTGATGGAATGACATAGGGATAAAAGCTCTGGACATGCTAAAGCTTGGGCCCGTCATCTCATCTCCTCCACCTGGAGCGAACCATAGCTTTTGCTTCTGTGCCCGAGCACGCAGTTGCTCCATCCTGGTGCAAACTCAGCTTCCTGCTTCCAGTCGGTGGAAACCAGGGAGGCCGCCCGGTGCTCGCTGAGTGCCTGGGCCATGATGTAAACCCGAAGAAACAAGTATCCCCAATCTCCTTCCTTTTTCCCCACCCCAAAGCCATTTCCTCCTACCTGGGATTTTGCTGTCTACTTTCCCTGAGCATTATTGATACATGCACAGGGAGAGGGGGTGGGGTGGGGGGAGGAACTTCTTGAAATTCCCCCAGATGGTTTTGAGAAGAGTTTTTCATGTTGCAACTTCCAACAAGTCAGTTTCTAGTTTGGCTTTCCACCAGTAGGAGCACGGTATATAAGCTCCAGGAGCAGCAGCAACAGCACAAGAACGCACAACGGTTTCAGGCCCCCTGGACGCTGCAGCCTCCACCCAAGCAAGGTGAGCACCTCCCTCTCCCCTTTCAGGCGGCCTGGCAGCAGGGAGTAGATGGGTTCCTAGAGAGTCCCTGGGGACTTGACTTGATGGAACACTAGTGAAAACTAAGGACTTTGAGGGCTAGTGTATAAGGGGCAATTTTAGAATTCAGCTAATAATGATTGTAATAATTCAAGACCGGTGAACAAAGGTATGTTGGATAGAGAGGTTAGCTTTGTTTTTGTGTGTACGTGTGTAAAAGTGTCAGTATATAAAAATTGTACATATATAAAAGTACATGTGTTTTATAAAAGTGCATTATCTTCCATCAGTTAAAAGATGGTGTACAGTTAATGTAAATGGTGTTGCTTGTCTTAGTACTAAAAAGTTTAACAAGCTTCCCAAACATTTTTAACGTTATTAAATTCATACTTCTTATACCGCCTACAGACCATTTCAGACCATACTTGCTCTCATATTTCTATCGGATTTTATAGTCAGTTATCAACTAAGTTGAATAGGTTGGTTCTCTGGTTCCTTCAGATTGACTAACTGTGGCCCTGCTTAGGAAACCAAAAGTAGCAGTAATGTTTAAAGCTACTTTCTGAAGCGTTCTATAACCTGTGGGGAAGGGAATAATTTTTATTGTACTGATGTGTGATATTCGCCCAGATAAAAGTATGTGCAACAATATGGCCATTTCAACAAAGGGATTGCGGAACCCTGGCTCATGGGTCACTTTTTCCAAACAGGGAATTTTAAGATTGTAGACTGAACTTGGGTAACCTTATGAAGCTCACTTTACTAGGATTGGAGATGACTTTTATGTATTTGTTTTGCCAACAAATTGGAGAATCCCTGTAGGCTACACTCTGAGCATACAGTGTAAAACAAGACAGAGACAGGTCCTGCCATCCGAGACCTGAGAATTGCAGAACAGAAAAATGTGACAAAGCCATATTATTGCCACCATAATCAATTCTATCGAAAAAAGAGAACACGTAGTCAGGGGTCCCAGGGTTCATCTGGGCCCCATGCCGGACACTTTGCACCTCATCCTAACAAGATGCCTATTTACAAATTAAGAGTATGCAGATTAAAGAGGTCATTGTGACCTCCCCAGGGTCACACAAGTAATATGTGATAGAGCAGGGATGCCAGTTCTAGAGATCTGTGTAGTTCCTGAACTGGGGTGCTTTACATGTGCTGGCCGTTCCATCTGTGACTATACCTTTTATTTTTAAATGATAATTCTCTTTTGGAATTAAAAGTAACAAGGTAGAATTTGCAAAAGAGATGCCCATGAAGTGCCACTGGCACACTCGTGCTAGTGCCAGAGTAAGGGGGCATTAGCATAATCCCCAAGAAGCAGGAGCACTTAACCTGGGGTCCCCTTGTCCCTCATACAGGGTTTCAGGAATTTAGAAAATCTATAAGATTACATGAAAATAATTTAATCTTCAAGACTTTCAAACTTCCTGTGCCAGGGAAGCTTGGGCTGAGAGACACAGTTCGCAGTATTAGTTGATGAGCCTTGGTGGTAACGGAGGGCCACATACTGCGTCCTGTTTTATCTGAGTGTGGCCTTCACTCTTTGCCATAGACGATGCACAACTCAGAGCTGTTTCTTAGAAGCATTGCCAGAGCTCCCTTGCCCCTAGAGCACAATTCATGTGCACGGCTCAGGTCCATGGTAGGTCCAGAGAGAAAGTTCTTGGCAGGAAGCCCAAGGGAAAACCTTGACATTAAGAGAGTGTAACAGAATCCCGAGGAGATACCAGGACCGTGCATAGTCTCCTTTTGCAGAGCCCTAACATGTGGGACCTACAGACCCAGGTAACTGCAGTACCTCTATGGGCATTTCTCTACAGCCTAGCATAACATTTTTGGGTATCCACTGCACCAACAGCAGAGACAGATCCATGTTTCCTTTATCTCTTCTGCTGGAGACAAAGAAACATTAGTAGTTGCCTTCTGTCCTGTGTCATGTCATTGTGTCCCCGGCAGCACTCTGAGATGGCATAGCCCTTTGATTTATATCCATTTTGTGGGTGAGAAGACTGAGGCTCAGAATACTTTGGCTAACACCGTACAGCTGTGAGAGGTGGGACTAAAATTCAAGCCTACATCTGCTAGACGCCAATACTATGAGTGCATCAATCTGCTCCCTCTGCCAAAGTACAACTTTGCTATAATCATAACATGGATTGAATTACAATCCAGGTCCTTCACACTCCATCAGAAGTGACAAGAGTACACTGAGCAGTATACAAGGTTTAATTTCTACTCCTGTTTCTGCCACTCGTGAGTTTGTAAGGGAACAAAGCACAGAGCAAGGTGTTCCTGAGTGAGCAGCCGTGCTGGCAAAGCCATGATCCCCTGCCAAGGGATTTGCCTGAAATGTTTAAGCTTGTTCTTCATCCGATTTAGCCCAGTGATCTTGAAAATCATGTTCCTTCCATGCACCGCTGTCCTCCAAGATGGATGGAGGTGTTTCCGAAGGAAACTGGACAATAATCTTCTCAATCCAATTTATTTGCTGTCAAATATCTTGTAATTTCAATGTGAAAAACATTGATACATACATTTGTTATTAAGATCTGAGATGGATCACAAGGTTACAAGAGGCGAATAATGGGAACCAGGGCCTCTAATTTGTAAGTGGGGTGTAATTTTCACAATTTAATGATTTCCATAAACCCTAGATAATAATCTGTACTGAATTTTAACATAAGGTGGTGGCCAAGTTAGCACAAAAGTGTGCGTGTCATTACTTCATGGTGAATCTATCAGTATTTCATGGTCTTCTCCCAAAAAGCACTATGGTTTTCAGGAGTCCTGCAACCAGAACATGGTTTAAACCATCTGTTTCCCAAAGTGTGGTCCCCAGCAGAGCAGCTTTACCTGGAACTTTATTAGAAATGAAGATGCTCAGGCCTCGCCCCAAGATGGACTGCATCAGACACTGGGGCTGAGAGCCAGCAGTCTGTCTTAATAAATCTTAGAGTTACTCTGTTGTAAATTCAAGTCTGAGATCTGATGAGTTGCCTTACACGAGAGGGTGTCATTTTGAAATCTGCAACAACTGCTGTCAAAACGAGAGAAACTAAGCTCTTCGGGCTGTGGGAGAGCTGGAAGTCATCTCTGTGTTACGGCTGCTATTACTAACCCTCGTCCTGAGCATCTCAATGCACATTGCCTTGTACTACTGTGACACGGGTGTGTGGCTTCTCTCCCCAAATGGGGCAATGGGGAGCAGTTACTACACTGATTTAGTAAATATTCGCCGAGTGAAAATATTGGCTCCTAGAAAACAAGATGTCAGTGAAACCCACATTTCACTCTCAGCTCTCCTGGCTCAGGACTCTTTAAGAATGGCATACGTAGTAGAGTAAAGTAAGAGAATCAATGTGGAACACGGAGCAAGAAAAGGCATTTTCCTTTTGTAATCTCATGTTTCTCATTTTAAAAACAAGAAGATTAGGGCCGACCAAATAGCTCAGCGGATTAAAGTGGACACAGCGGTCAGGGGTTGGATCCCTGGGCCTGCCCTGCTGGCCCTGGCCCGGGAGCGCACTGAGATGGCAATTGAGACTGGGCGTGGTGGCGTGCACCTGAAATCCCAGTACTTGGGAGGCTGTAAAAAGGAGAATCACGACAAGTCTGATCTAGTAGTGAGACCCTGAACACCCTGTAGACCCTTCCCTAAAAATACAGAAGAGGGCTGGTGAGATGGCTCAGTGGTCTAAAGCACC